ATGATAATCTGTCATAAATGTACATTTGATTATCATTCAGTGGGTGTCTTATAGTTGTGATTCAAGTATTTATAATGCAAAAAGCATATTAATAAAAACAAATGCAAAATTGTTCAGCTCCCCAAGCTGTAGTTTCATCATGACAGCAGGAGGTGGCGACGAGTTATTTTCGACTACAGACCACATGTAGCTCCTGGAACCGCTAAAATGAGGCCTAACCTGTTGTTAATGAGAGACCCATCAGCAGTGACCTTCCACAGATGATATACTGAGCTGCTTCTTCAATATGAAACCTACTGTAAGATACTTACATATGCAGAAACAGATACTTGAGAAATTACTGTAGTAGAAGCACTTGTGTCCACATAAGATTCGCACACGTAATTACTAGATATGTACAACGAAACGCTAGATTTATTCATACAGAGAGGTGATAGTAGGAGGACAAAAACTGGCAAGAACTCTTCAGAATACAAGACATGAATGAACTTAAGCATGAAAGACTCATAAAAACACAAGAACAGAAGAACTGAAGGTCAAGCTAGAGAACTGATTCATGATATTAAGTGTTCTTCTCTAAATCAAAAGTGAGATTTTAATTAAAACAATACGTTTCTTATGCCGTTTGCCAATATTGTTTCTTGTTTTAAGCATAACTCACGTTAGACTGAATATTTGAAGTTATTTTTGCTAAATATAAACCAAAAAACAAGACAGAAATACTGAATAAGTAATGAATGTTGTGAAACAAGTTAACAGATTCACATGTTACAATTTAGAACAAAACGTCACTTGAGGATCAGGAGTGATGTCAGCATGTCGTTTCCCATCATGCTTTTGTTAGTTTGCTGCTCTATAACTGGCCTGTGTGTGTGTGTGTGTGTGTGTGTGTGTGTGTGTGAGAGAGAGAGAGTGTGTGTTTGCAGATTGGCACAACATTTAAAGGGATAGTCCACTAAAAAAATTAGCATTTTGTCATCATTAATCAATCCTCAAGCTGTTCCAAACCTGTTTGAGTTTATTTCTTCTGTTGAGTACAGAAGGAGATTTTTTGAAGAATGTTGTAGTCATTGACTTCCATAGTAGTTTTTCCATTGTGTTCAACAGAAGAAATGAACTCAAACAGGTTTGGAAAAGCTTGAGGATTAATAAATGATGACACAGTCACAAACACTTCATACAGTGTCAAATCAGGTCATTTTCCCATTACTTTCACCCAACAAACACACTTTATTATCACTCATAAAACAATGACCTAAAACACCAACAACAGATAGCATTATGCAACGTTTTCTTCTGTAAATGTTCTTTACAAAGCCAGAAATAAACTCTAGAATTCACTGCAGTGTCCAAGTTTACATTACAGCACAAAATGATTCCTTTATTTTCACCTTTTGTATAGATGGTAATGAAATTAAAAGACTAACAGCTGTGCATGACGTACAAATTATTTTTGGACGATTATTGAAGTAGATAAAGTTTCTAACAATTTCTTAGTGAAAATAGTTTCTGTTTCAATGTAGGTGTTCAGCTACATCTCTGTGTTTAATCATTTAGATCTGGGATGCATTTTCAATATGCTATTACTGTAGAAATGTATCAAATGTGCTGTCTTGTTATGCTAGATTTTGAACTTGCGTTTTGAAAAGAGTTTGTAAACGTGCAAATTCGCCTGTAGGCCAGCTCATTGAGCTTTGGTGTCTGAGTGAGAAAAGAGTTCAGCGATTCATAGACCTGATGGTCGTGCTGACTGCCGGATCAGTACTGTGAATATCTGTCTGTCAGAAGCGATCTGTGTAGTTCGTCTGTCTGAATGTGTTTCGTGTGTTTGACAGGTGTGTGATCTGGCCCATGCGCTCAGAGATGGAGTGTTACTCTGTCAGCTGCTCAATAACCTGCTGCCGCAGTCGGTCAACCTGCGTCAGATTAACCTGCGACCCCAGATGTCTCAGGTACAGAGAGAGAGAGTATCTGTGTGATATGGAAATCACCTGATTACCATCACCAGCTGCTAATCTTAATGGCAAATGAGTGTGTGTGTGTGTGTGTGTGTGTGTGAGTGAGAGAGAGACAGAGAGAGAAAGCAAGCAAGCTGAACTTGGCAAACACTGTGGTCACTGCCTGTGTTTAATGGAAACCTCGGCTGTCACACACACACAGATTTGAGAAAGTTTAATGTGTGTGTTGCTGATAAGGTTACAGCACTTGTTTCGTGTACAGTCTTACATTGCACTTCCTTATTCTCGGCTTAACTTCCTCCTACACACTCTCACACACACACACACACACACACACACACGCGCCACTCAAGAAGTACTTTAAATGCAGATGTATACGCTGTTTCTGCATTTGCTCGGTGTCTCACACACAGTTTTACTATGACTGTCTCAGCTGTAGACAGTCTGTCGTATATTGAGTAATGTAAACTCACAATATATGATGCAA